ATTAGAGAACCATACGACCTCTCCTCTGTTTCTTCTACATTTTCTTCTTCTGTTGTCATCGAAATAAATAAATAAATAAATAAACGGTTAAAGAGTATAGATAAAATACAGTAATAATATATTGGGTCTAATCAATTTCTTAGCACAAAGGTAACATGTCACCAATTGGTGCTACTTGTTCAGATAAAAAAGAAATTAAAATGAAGAGTGATACAAAAAGTTGTAGAGAAACTCCAAATTACCTTCAAGGTTGTCATTGTTTCTCGATTGGCAAGCTGTGAGCACTTTAGCCTGTACAAAGCAATTCTAGAAGTTACAGACCAGAACTTAACAAAGGTAAATTAGTGATATCATTTGCTTATGACCCTAAACCGTGTTTCAATTGAGTCTCAAGTTTCACAATAAATTATAATTGTACTATCAAAAACCTAATGCAACAAATACAAATTTTTTTAAGTATTATAGAATATTCAAGGCAACTAAGAACTCAAATGAAACTAGTATGATAATGTCTGTGTACAGTTTAGAACTTCAACATAACCCAACACCGAGTACTACACACTTAAATTAGATGTTCTTGCTTTTAATTGACAATGCTTTCAAAGTTCAAATGTTCATTAATTATTAATTAAAAAACTAAAATATTGAAAGCCAATGCTTTGGAGCCTAAACCATTCAAGGAAAAAAAACACTTCATCATAAGCTGGTTGGGTTCAGCACGCAACTGTCAACACATGCATTTCTTCTAGCTTCGGAGAAAAGAAAAACACACACACACACATACACACACAATGTTTTAAGTAGAAATAGCCCTAAACAATAAGTAAATGAGAATGACTAATCCTTGAATGGCCACTAAAAAGAAACAAAATGGATTTTGACCATTGCTTCTGTACATGAATGCATGTACAATTTACCAGAATAACCATGGAATTCACACCTAGATCAAATCTGGAATAGAGAATTTTGAGATAATTTTCCATAGAAGTCAAAGCAATGGAACCAAATAAAGCTTGTATATGTAACAAAGAAAAAGATATTAACTTGGAAAGTTTAATTGTACTCACTCTTACAGTACTGAAATGATCCATTACTACATGAGAACGGGCAGCTAATCGTTCGGTAAATTCCTAAACATATTAAGCAATCATGTCAAAATTTAAGGGATTGAAGCTAAAAATGGGTAGGGTACAAAGTGAGAGAAGAAAAGGTTAAAGATACACCAAAGACGGAGAGTACAAGAAAGTGGAAAAACATAAACTTATGTACATGTCAGAGGCTTACTTGAAATCCAATATGCAGCCTTTTTCCACCTTTATGGTAAGGGATAATGACAGGACATTTAGTGATATATTCTTTACAAACAAGTGGTTCTACTCTGCATAAATTCAATACGCTCTGTAAAGTTTAGGACAGATTATGATCACAAATAAAAGATGAGCAAAATGAACCATGTCCTGAAAGAAAGAGGAATAGAAACGCAAATACACAAATTTTGTCAGTTTTCCCTTTTTTAAGGACCCCGCCATGTTGCGGGCATACAAGATACATACAGCACACATGATATCAGCAACCAAGCTGATAACGCTAGAATGAGTCATTCCTCACCCCACTGTACACCCATCTCATAAAATAAGTGGAGAAAAGATCATACTTGTGTACACCCAAGTATAGATAGCTTCACAATTCTTCCAATTTAGATGAGCCCAACAAAAATAAGCTCATTACAAGCCATGAATGAACCATCACTTATGTTCATTACTTAGGATTCAACAATCTGTGCTCCAATAATGGATAAAAAAAAATGCATAAAGACTAACACCAACCTATATGCTACAGGATCAAATGGGTGGAAAATGTTGAACATTTGATGACAAGCTGGCATCTCTTCAGATATATTTTCCTCGTCCCAATAATCTTGCCCTTTGCCTGCAATACAGAGAAAATTAGTTAACAGCTCAAACAAGATATAAAGTACAAAAAGAACAACTCCTATTAGGGGTGAAAAAAGGAAAAATAAGGTGAGAAGCATAAGTTAGAACTTGAAGATTCAACTTCAACAATTCTATCAAAAAAAGATTCAACTTCAACAGAAGATATGAGAGAAGCATAAAGTAAGTGAGAAATATACTACACCTCTATCGAAGACAATAAAAATTGTGGCACACTAGAAACTGCTGTAATTTAATTAGACTGATTAAAAAAACAAAACTTGGCTGTAGGCATTAGAAGAATAAAGTGAGATCATTTATCAAAAGAACAGGCATACGAGGGACTTTCAGGAAGTTGCTGCTTCATTAATGTGTATGGCCCTAGTCTGGATGCAGAAAAAGAGACATTTTTCAGGGAGCTATTATCTTTTCTGGATAATGTGGATTGCCCTTTATGCTTAGGTGGAGATTTCAATGTAGTTTTGTCACAGGAGGAAAAAGAAGGAGGAGCTGTGAATTCGGTGACTATGAATATTTTTAGGGATTTTGTGAGCAAGGCAAATTTGCTTGATTTGCCATTGTCAGGAGGTCGTTTTACATGGTGTAATAATAGGGAAGCTCCTACGTTCGAGAGGTTTGATCGGTTTTTGGTTGACCATAGATTTGTAAGTTTGTTCCCGAAGCTAAGTCAATCTTTGCAGCCAAGGTCCGTTTCCGATCATAATATTATTCTGCTAGAGAACATGGATTGCAATTGGGGCCTGAAGCCGTTTAGGTTATTTAACTATGTTATGGAGGAGGAGGGCTTTACCGAGATGATGGGTAAGGAGCTGGATAATATATGTAAAGAGGAAAAGGGTAAGCCCATCTCTAAGGTGCTTAAGCGGGTGAAGGGAGTGGTTATGAGATGGTCTAGGAAGGGTTATTTAGAGTTGTCTGGAAAAATCAAACTGTTGGAGAAAAGAATTCAAGTTATGGAGTTGGATCTGCAGCAAGGCCTTCCTTCGGTGACAATGAGGTCAATAATTGAAGCAAAGAGAGATTTATGGGAGCTCCAAAAGAAAGAAGAATCGATTTGGTTGGCAAAATCGAGACTGAAATGGAGATTGGAGGGAGATAAGAACACCAGATTTTTCCATCATTCTGCCACAATTAGAGGAAGAAATAATGGCATTAAGTCCCTTTTAGTGGGTAATGTAGTCATAGAAGATTCTACCTTAATTAGGAATTCGGTGGTAGAGTTCTTCAAGGGTCTGTTTTCTCAGGAAAATTCTTTGGAGGCTGAGGATATGAATCTGGATTTTTTAAAATTATCGGAAGGGCAGAGTTTAGCACTTGAAAAGCCATTTTCGGAAGAAGAAGTTTGGAGAGCAATTGCTGATTCGGATAGTAACAAAGCTCCTGGCCCGGATGGTTTGAATTTAGGTTTTTTCAAGAAATTCTGGTCTAATTTGAAAGATGATATTATGCTGTTTTTTAATGAATTTTTCGAGGGGAAGGAGTGGGACTTGGAGGTGAATCATTCCTTTATTTCTCTTATTCCTAAGAAGATTAACCCGGAGGGGATGGGGGATTTTAGGCCAATTAGCCTTGTGGGAGGGCTATATAAAATTCTGTCTAAGGTCTTGGCTAGGAGGTTCAGTTTGTGCATTAATGACATTATTAGTCCGTCCCAATTTGCATTTATCCAAGGGAGAAACATTCTGGATTGTTCCTTCATAGCGAATGAAGGAATCAACTTCTGGAGGAAGAAAGGGCTGAAGGGGGTGGTCTTTAAGGTGGATTTCAAGAGAGCTTATGATTCAGTTGATTGGCTGATCTTATTGAAAATATTGGGTAAAATGGGGTTTGGCAAAAAATGGTGGTCTTGGATGTTTCAGTGCATGTCTACAACTTCTATTTCTGTTCTACTGAATGGGACTCCTACTGAGAAAATTCAAATAAAAAGAGGTCTTAGACAGGGGTGTTCGTTATCACCCTTGCTGTTTAATTTGGGTGGTGAATTGCTTCATTTGCTGTTAACTAAAGCAGTGGATTTGGGATTATTTTCAGGTTTTGAGTTGGGAACTCATGATCGTTCATTCAAACTCTCGCATCTACAATTTGCGGATGACCTAATTATTTTTACAAAGGCATCAATTCGGGATTTGAAGAATGTTAGAAGGGTGCTTTTGATTTTCGAGTTATTGGTGGGGTTGAAGATTAATCTAGTCAAGAGCAGAATTTTTGGAATTAATGTTGAGGATGATGTGCTTGTTGATTGGTCTAAGGAAATTGGCTGTTCAGTGGGTAAATTTCCTGCAGACTATTTAGGCTTGCCTTTGGGGTCTAAGAGAAACTCTATTGCAATGTGGGAGCCAATCGTGCAGAATTTCTATAATAGGTTGTCTGGTTGGAAGGCAAATTCTCTAGCATTAGCAGGGAGGGTGGTGTTGATCAAATATGTTTTGTGCTATCTCCCCACTTATTTCCTTTCTTTATTTCGAATTCCAGCTTCGGTGCTGCAGAAATTAAATTCTATAATGGCTGCCTTTTTGGGGGGGGGTCGACTGATAAAAAAAACATACATTGGGTGAACTGGGGTTTGGTCAGCAAACCGAGAAGGTTGGGGGGTCTTGGGATCCCGAACTTAGCTATATTGAACAGAGCATTGTTGGGTAAATGGGTATGGAAGTTTGCCTCTGAAAAGGATTCTTGGTGGAAGAGAGTTGTTTGTTGTGTGAATAATTTGGACCTGAACTCCAAAATGGTAGAGAGTTCTTTGACTGCTCGTGCATCTTGGATTTGGAGAGGAGTGATTAATAACTTCTTTTCCAATGATGAGTTTGGTGACTGCATTAGGAGTAATTTGCGGTGGAAAACTAGAAATGGCCGTTCTGTGGTATTTGGAATGATGTTTGGGAGAAGTCCCCTTAAAGTTCTGTTCCCTAGACTATATGCTCTTTCAACGAATAAAGAGGGGAAAGTAGTGGAGTTTAGGGAGGAACAGGCTGCAGGATGGATGTGGGATATTCAATTCAGAAGGAATTTGGCGGATTGGGAGATTGACCAATGGTTGCATCTGATTTCTATGCTGAATAACACCTCTTTGTCTCATGATGAGGAAGATTGCTGGATTTGGTTAGGGAATGGAGAGGGTTGTTTCTCTACTAATTCTTGTATAAAAATTTTCCATGGCTCGGAAGGTACTGAGGGGAATCAAGATGTTTGGGACAGGAAAATTTGGGTAGGGATAGCCCCTCCTCGTGTTGAAACCTTCTTATGGCAAGTAGTTCATCTGAGAGTGGCGGTCAAGGAGGAACTGTTAAAGCGTGGTGTGGCTGGAATTGAAGATTCCTTATGTCCGTTGTGTGGCAGATTAGGGGAAACTGTTTCTCATCTTTTTCTGCATTGTGAGGTTGCTTGGGGACTGTGGGCCAGATTTTTGAATATGTGGGATGTTGCTTGGGTGATTCCTAATAATCCCTTAGATTGTATCACTCAGTGGGATGAGCTTCTTCCGAACTCTAGTATTTGGAAATTCATTCCAAGGGCAGTCTTGTATCAAAACTGCTAGTTTTGATATGCTGATTCCTTTCGACTCGCTTGTGGGTGATTTAACACTTGCTGATTTAATGGTTAGTCACAAAGCAAGATCCAAACCGTCTTGCTGGGTTCCTCCTCCAGTTGGTTTTATTAAGATTAATGTTGATGGAGCGATGGTGAAGGGGTGGAACAAAGGAGGTATAGGAGGTCTGATTAGGGACAGCAGTGGTAGGTCGATCCATTGGTTTTCTGAAAAGGTTGGGGGTGGTCCTCCGATTATGGCAGAACTTTTGGCGATTAAGAGAGGGTTGTGTTTGCTTATTGATTCAGGTGAGGTTCTTAATCAGAGGATTATTTTAGAATCGAACTCTACTAACGCGCTGAAGTGGATTAAAAATCCGGAATTAAGCACCCCTTTATTCCAATCAATGGTGAAGGAGATCGTCTCTATTATGGAAGGGATGGATATTATGTTAAGGCTAATCTTGAGGGCTGCCAATTGGGAAGCGGACAATTTAGCTAAAGATGGTATTGGTTGATTAGCTGCCTTTGTATTTGAGGAGTTGGAGTGTATGTTTCATTTTGTTTCTGCAGGTTTTTGTTCTCAGTATTATGTAATTTGTGTCTACGTTTTCCAGCTGATAGTGGTTTTTAAGTCTTATGCTTTCTGGGAAGGTTTATTTTGTTGTAAGAGTGGGTAATGTACTTTTCTTCTGTTTAATAAAATTATAGGCGCTCTTTTCCTCCTTCCTTTACCCTTCATGTTACTTTCATAACATGAAGGGTAAAAAGGAGGTTTTTTATGAGGCCTCATCTTCTATCAAAAAAAAAAAAGAACAGGCATACCATAATAAATTGCAACAACCAAAACAAAGTGAAATCATTCATTAGAATCATCATAACTTTCTGCAATTCCATAACAAAAATGACAATTATATCTTTCAGCAGCCAATAGCATCCATCCTTTATTAAAAAATAATAAAGAATAGAACACTAAACTTCACAAACTAGGAACGAAAAATATATATTGCAAGTATGCTTAAAGGATTTAAATGCACCAATAGTATGCACATAAAAGGCTTCTAAGTTTAAGCATTACCAAGTCCAATACGGATATTGCGAAGGGCGAGGAACACTCCCAGGGGTGATCCCACAGCAAAGAATGTGTCAACCTGATATTATAACATTTGGACTGAATCAGTCGCAAGTTTCATAACATGTTAATGTATCCACTTTTTATTCTTCTGTTAAGTATTTCCTTGGTTGTATGTTTGTGTCAAACTATGAATACAGTTAAAACAATGTAAGTAAAGTAGTATATCTTAAAGAGAAACTACCCTATCAAAAGAATACAATGGAAAACAGTTAATATTCTTTTCATCATACCTTGAATTCAAGCTTTGTGTATCTGATATGGGGAGTATAACACTTTGTTGTATCATCTAGCTTCAGTGGCAGCTTTTGATCAAACTTCTGCAATGTAGGTGGTTTTTGCATAATCATCTCCTCATTTTCTGTTATATAAGACATCAAAACTCATGTAAGATTTCCTCCGTAAGAATGAACTAAATGAAAATATCAAGAATAGAAGTTTCCTTCCACTCAAAAATAAATAAATAAAATCCTTCAATCAGCATACCACCAGTATCGACAGAGTTTTCTGATTCCAGCTCAGCAATTTTCGCTTTTAGGGAATCAATCTGGAGAAGGGGAAACTTTCATTTAAAACATTGAAATACAAGGGAGCCAAATAAAAAAATCATAATTGGCTGTTGCATATGCATGTGCCTGGGAAACAGTATCCCCAGAAGAAAAGATACCCTTATTGTATGCACAAATAATTGTATATTGTTCTTATATATGTATATTTAAATTCCCACCTCTTCTCTAAACATTTTGATTGTTTTATCTGTATCTCTGGCTTCTTCATTCTCTTCCTCGGTATCTTTCTCCAAAAGACCACCCTCCTCTGGCCAAGGGGTTCCACTAAAATCATTAAATAATTGATGCACATCCTCATTACAATTTTTCTGCATAGAGCCCTCAGCTGCCGCATTAATTTTAGTTGATACTAAGGATTTATCTTCAATGTGTCCTTCAATTAAGGATTTATCTTCAGCGTGCCCTTCAGTTAAGGATTTATCTTCGTCTTGTCCTTCAATTATGGATTTATCTTCATCGTGTCCTTCAATTAAAGATTTATCTTCAGCTAGTCCTTCAATTACCAATGGATTTGGTAGTGGAACCTTCATGTCTTCACCAAGGCAATCCACTGTGTCTTTTGTCATCATAGTGGAGTTCTTTTCCTCAAGATTTGCCAAAGAACTGCATTTAGAAGACTGGTTATTCATATCAGGAGAACATTCCAGATCTTTTGAGTCTTTTTCATACACCCACTGCATTGGAAATGGGGAAGAGAGATGTTCTTGATGGCATAGGATGTCATAGGAGAGGACGCTTCCCAGAGAATGCCCATATAATGAAACCTAAACAGAATTAATGTAATAATTACAAAGCATTGAGTGCAAACAATGTTATGACAACTGGCAATACATATTCAACTAGACACATACCTTTCCATCATAACCAGGATTTCGTTTAAGAAACTTTAAATACAGCCTATTTAGCTGATTTGAAACCTGCAGAAAACAAATTACATATTAATTGGTTTCAGAATTAAAAAATTTCAGACTGTAATAACCCTATTTTATTGAGGAAGTCCACAAAAGCTGAAAGAAGTTAAGAAATTCAAACAGAAAACAAGCCTGAAAAGATCATAAGAAATGTAAGGTAATTTAGCTTCATTTAAAAAAACAGATTTCTATAAAAAAAACAAATAGAAACAGATAGTTTTATCATTGGTAACATAGCACCTATTAAGTTCCAAGAAACTACACTTTCACAACTTAATAAGCGCCCATCCTCCCAGCCTATAAATAATTTGCTTTAAAAAGCATATTCTACAAATAGTATTTAATGTTAGCCTGAACCTATACCAACTCCCTTTGCTTCTCATACATCACGAATTTCCTGAAAATGTAATGTAAATTTCTAACATTTGGATGCATAAAAGTTCCCTCATTTCTCTTCACATATCATTGACTTCAATGATAAAAGAGGAAATTTACAATCTATTCCTCTTTCCTACAGCCAAGATGACCAAACCAACAATCTATTTAAGTGAATGCAATGTGGCACAATCCTAACACAAAAGAAGGGAAATAACAGAGGTGATTTATTTTTATGTTACTTTACTATTTTATTAAAATTTTATGTAATGTTTTCAACTACGTTGGTACCAATTAACTTATAACCAAACTCATTCACTCAGCTATATATACTAGATCTATGTACACCCACTCTGAGGGAAAAATGATAAATAATATTAAGATATAAAGAAATAAAATGAAAAAAAGAGTTCACAGTCATCTCAACATGAAAGAAAAAAAATGAAAGATGTGAACTTACAATTATTTATAAGTGAGAAAAAATATATCAAATGATTAATTAATTCTTTTTCAATTTCTGTTTTAATTAAAAGAGTAATTTCCTACCTAACGGACTTCTGTCACTTGACTTGTGATACCAAACTCAGTCAGGGACTTTATTATTAGTATGAATATAATACTTTCAACCAAAACAAACAAGAAGATAGCATTGTGTCGTTGTGAAACAAAATTACAAATCCATAATAGCATCTAAGATAATATTTGGTTCTTACTATGATGAAACTCATCTCCTTGGGAATATTAAAACTTTAGAAATTTCAATAAAGCAATTTTTTTTAGGTAAGAAAATTACACTCATGTGATTGCTTTTTGAGAAGGGCAGGGGGAAGCAGCTCAAAATCTTTTTCCTATAATTCTTTAGATTAATGAAAATCCCTTGTTTTCAGGGAACATATTTATGAGAAACTGATATCCTTCTTAGCAGCACAGGTGCAAAATAATTAAGGATGCAATCTAGAAATCCAAGGGGTAAGCTCTTCAATGAAGAGTGCAAGAGCTAATTCCCTATGAGAATCTTCATTAATTATGGCGAAGCCAAAAGGTACAGTTTATTAGTTGAACTAAAGTATTTTTTTGAGTAATGGTTTAATCTCAAATTGTTTTAAAGATTCTACAATTCCTCTATTATTTAGGGCTATATGTGATGATATCAGGAACACAAACTAAAAAGGAAGCCATTTCAAATAATTGTGCAGACTAAAAAATGAAGAAAGAATTAAAAGTATAATAGAAAACAGAATACCGAGTCAATAATACTCTGACAGTATATAGGACTCATGTAGTACAACACATCATGAGCAGTAGCGCTCAGCATAACACGCAAACCCCGCACGCCATCTAGTGTGATTTTCTCAACTGCAGCTTCACCACTGAGCTTCAAGCCTTTCCTCCACTGAAACTCAAAAGTCAGGTGGATGTCATGTAAAAGAGAACATCAGAAAATATATGAAAGACATAAAAAAATCATTTAAGTACCAAGGAAAAAGAAATGAGAGTAAATTTGATATGTCTTCTAATCTATTGAGAAAAACCAGAGAATCACTTTGATCTCTGTCCCTAAATCCTTAGTTTCTACAAAACTATTTCTTCAAAATGTCAACGTGAAAAACTCAACATGCCATTATTTTATTTTGATACTCTTTTTGTCAATAGTCTATGCACACAACCAACCAAAATTTAAGTTCCAAACTAGTGAAATTTTTCATGATTGTAATGAAACAGTGAACTAGAACAACAATTCTATTTCCAAAAGGTATTCAACAACTTATATTAATTCTTGACCCAAAAGATGTCAACATAGGATTTTGCAAAACAAGGACCCCGATAATTTGTATAAATGTACACTAAAATGTCTAAAGTAGGAAGCAGTTTGTCACACTGTACCAGAAAGTAAACTAATTCAACCATAACAGTCCTATCCATTCAAATTACATAAGTCATTCGATAGTATAACTATAAAGAAGTATAATCAAAAGTATGAGAGATGGTGTGTGATAATAATGACAATCAAAATAATGATATAAAGCCTTATTCATGTACAGAACATATTTTATAGTGCACATAATACAAAAGCTTTCTTCATAATAAGAGTAACAACCAAACAAGGAAAGGAACTGCAAAATAATTACAAATGAACTAGTTATTACCTGACATGGGATGAAAAGGACTCTTTGTGTGCCACGTTGATGTGAAGTCAGGTGCCGCTCAGCAAGGCTTGCTGTGATATGGCGGAAGTTGCCAACATCATCAACCAAATTAGATTTCTCCAACCTTTGACCAATACCATGGACCATAAAGACCAAGTGTCGAACAGGAACCTAGACCAAATTTAAACAGTCTTATTTTAAACTTCAAATAAATAGAAAGACGGGATCATATGTGTGCACACATGCATAGTATTTGTACCAAAACCAGATTAGAGGAAGAAAAAAAAGGAATCCGGTTACAGTCCTTAACATGAAGTTTAGGATTCCATTAAAAACATTTTTGAAATTGCACTCACGCAACATATCTGCTATATTTTCCAAGGTTTGTGGGTAAAAAATTAAGCATATATTGAAGAAGAAAATATTCCATTATTTTCTAGGCAATTGCTAATATCAAACCATATAATCAATCATCTGACTTAAAAAGTGTTGATTACATTAACAATTGGAGAAGTTCATGTAGACCAAAATAAACAGTATTAAAGAACAAAAAACAAAAAGAGTGGAGCTGGATCATAGACCTGTCACCAAAATTCCAAGTACATCAATAATGAAAAGCTGCATGACAGAATAAGTTCATCCATGGTGGTTTTTACTCCAAGTCAGTCTCCAAACAATGCAAACTTTAGCATAGTACAACCAGAAATAAATCCATCTAATCAACAGCTGGGAACCATAAGATTTGCAACAAGCAGCATTTTATTCCAGCAAAGTCATAATTAAGATGTAGTCAATCAGGCAAATATTAATGAGTGACTTTCAAATATGGGATGTTAGTGAGAATATGCCATGACCTCCTCAACAGAAATAATAGTTCAATGCATGCATTTTAATGCATAACCAAAATTATAGTTTTTAATAAATTTTATGAAATTCCTTTTATTTATGATGTTTTATATCGGAAAGCATGAAGAAAAACTAATATACATCTTAGACAATAATTTAAGTAAAACACATGGACTTTACGCAACAAACAAAATGCTCTAAAGCATACCTGAGAACAATAATCATCCATCTCTTCCTCTTTTCTTTGACGCAATTCATCCTACATAAGAAAATTGTGTTTTAAAATGTCAAGCAATGTTCCCAATTTCAGGCCCACACACAAGGAATCTGAGTACTAACATATCTACCATTGAAGCATGTATTGTTTCATGCTGTTATAGCATAAGAGGGGGGAAACCTGGGTCGGTTTGGGTGATTGAGATGCAGCATAACCACGTCTTAACTTGATTCCATTTCTACCAAAATTAATAACATTGGAAAAACCAGAAGCATCAACATTGAGCCATGCCTCCCAAGTATCATCTTCTCCGGTAAAAAGTGCGTGAAGTCCCTGCATTCAGTGTTAGACCTGATAATTTTAGGCACTGCAAACTATGATTTATGTGAATATATTGTTCCTTTCTAGAAAATTATAAACATACTGGGGTAGAGCCTTGCAAATCAACTCTAGCAGCAAAAAGTCCTGATGGTTGAAATTTCCTTCGATGCCAAATCTGTGAAGAAGTCTAACTTCATCAGCTATTACATGTATATATATATAAATAACTAAATAAATAAAGAGATTTTTTTTATGGCTAAGTTCAACTCAAAGGAAAGAAAGAAATCAAGAATGAACAATTTAAAACAAGCACACAATAAGAAAATTATGGTGGAAACAATTGGAAAACAATCACATGGTGCTCAAATTCTATGGGTTTGAGAGGCAACATGGTGTCAGCATTTGAGCAAAAGTTCTAGGAGTCATATTGGAATAGATAATGCAATCAAAGTAAATCAAAATTATTGAGAGAAAATAGGGTCTTATAACATCAATGTTTCAGTAAACCTGGCTGCGATATGCAATCTCTAATTGTTCAGCTACATCTTCACGAAGTGGAAGCCAATCCAAGCCCCCTTTACGAGCAAACCAGTGACCTCTTAGAACACGCCGATTTTCTCCATTCCAGTATACAGGGAAACAGTGTCTCTTAACTAAATCTACCTGCATTATTTACATCATATCAGTTATAAAAGATAACTGATTTGAGAAAATAAAACCTAAGTTCTTGATGATGCCCAGAAAATTGATTTTTTGTTGTTGATAGAAGTAGGAGGCCTCGTTAAAAACCCCCTTCGAAGTTGACCCTTAAGGAACAGCTAGCGGAAGGAGGAAAAGAGTACCTCAATTTCCCAGAAAATTGATTTTAAAATGCTCAATTGTATGAATATGTCATCTTAGCACATCATAAAAAGAAATGATGTGACAACATTGACCAGAGGATGAGATACATCATCATCATTATGAAAGATAATAAAAGCATATAGCATGGCAAAATTAAAAGGCATAGCTTCAGATACAAAAAACATGCGAAATGCTAGTGAAAACACAGAAACATATCAAAGCCATGGATAGTTATTATCTTAAAGAGCGATACATTAATTAATGAATGCATGACACCGCCACCTACATCCGGTTAGGTAATTTCAAATACAGATAATATATTGTTGTAAAGACACAAGAATTGATAATTGTATTCATTCAACAAGCCATGTAAACACGCACGATGAGGACACATGGTTGCATACCCTGATAAATACCAAAAGAATAAAAAAGACACATGAAGAGAATGATAAAGAAATATGTACGAATTCAATAGTTATGTTACTAAACAAGATAGAATAGAGAAGAACAAATATGTACAAACGACAGCATATTAACAGGAGAAAAGTAGTATGAAATGCAAACTTCAATTTACCATAATCATGTTCAATAATAAACATGAGACCAAAGCTTAACTATAACCAGCCAATAAACAAGCAATAAAGGAAATGCCTTCAAACAATGAATGAAGCCTAGAATCTCAAGTGTCAAGCATCCCAACTAAAACCAATTGTTAGTAAGAAGAAGAGCCCAATTGAATATAAGATCATAGAAAATTCAATACTTAGTAGATGTGGGATGGAACCACTCCCTCTCGCATATAGCTCGAAAAGGACCTAAACATGGACAACCTCATTGACAGACATCAACCTAACATTAAGCATCCAACCTAAAACCAATTGGCGGTATGTGTGTGTGTGTTTGGGGGGGGGGCAATTGGAATATAAGACCAAAAAAAACCCAATACTCAATAGATGTGAGATAACATCACATAACATAAAAAATAGTTTAAATTATGAAATAAAAGGGCTGCTTGGCTATTTTAAGACACACAAATGGCTATGGAAAAAGAACTTCATCTTGTTAGATAAGAGACTTGCATTGAAGGAAACAAGATCTTTCACTCCAAAGTATCACATACAAATATAACATTAGTTGGGAGAGGCAGAAACTTGTAAGAGAACAAGATACCTCATAGAGCCCTCCCTTTACAGGGACACCAACCCTCTCTTCTTCAAATGTGTATAGTTGGGCTGATTGAGAACCCTTTGCAGAAGACGAATCCTCTCCCATGCCCAACTTCTTTCTGGAGCTACTCCATCCTCTTGGACCTTCACTGCATTCAGCATACTCTTTCCACCAAATAGACAGCAGCTCTTCTTCTCTCTGTTAAAACATAAACAAAGAACTAGATGAACAAAGAATAGTCACCACCTACTGTATAAAAGAAAAGGGAGGATATAGTAATTCTAAGGAAAGTCACAAAAAATACATTAAGATAATTCTGAGACACTAACAATTTTACAGGAACACACTAGATGTATCAAAAAAAAGAAAAGGGAGGATATGATAGGAAAAAGAGTACTATTTTCTGCTTTGTCTAAGACCAATAGCAAGACTGGATGCAAGTACGATGTCTTCATTATACGTTTAGGACTAGTTTTGAACAAGAAAATAGGAGCAAGAAGTGTGGAGCAATTGGCTTTTTCTATATTGAGGGTTTCCATTCCAATTCTTCATCCTGCTATATTATTTAAATCCCATCCTCCTTTAAGATTGCCTAATCAGTCGATGGAGCAAGTCATAAAGGACTCACTAGATGTATCAGTTAAAAAAAGGGAGAAAGAGAAGTGGAGAAATTGGCTTTTTCTAGTTTGAGGGTTGCCATTTCAATTCCTCATCCTAGCAGATTATCTAAATCCCATCCTCCTCCTAGATTCCCTAAGCCAGTTGAGGGGGGAACTTCTCATGAAATCGTTATAGGTATCAGGAAAAAGAAAAGGGAACATATGATAGGAGAAAGGTATTTCTATTTTCTGCTTTGTATAAATTAAGACCAATGGCAGGATTGGCCACAAACATGATGACTCCATTACATGTTTGGGACTAGTTGTTGAACAAGAATATGGGAGAAAGAAAAATGGAGATTTTGGCTTGTTTCTATTTTGGGGGTCGCCATTCCAATTCTTCATCCTACAGGATTATATTCAATCCCATCCTCCTTTTAGATTGCCTAAGCTAGTTGATGGGACAATTACTTCATAGAAAAATTGATTTAATCCTCTTCTTTAACAGTGCCGAGATAATACACAATAAAAAAGAACTCTGATTCCTCATTTAACCTAACTAACCTATTCTGGTATTTAGGCAAAAGTTGTAGTCATATAAATCATGAATAAAGTGTTATGGCCCTATTAAATTCCATAAAAATTCAAGAGTTGGGAAAGAGGTCTAGCCCCAAGACTAATATGGAACAGCAGCTTAATCATGCAACATAAATATAGTTTAAAAAGAGGACCTGCAAGAAAGATGCCTCTATTGCAAGAGAATCCCTCATCCCAAAACGAAAATAATCACTCTTTCCCACTATCTCAGTTTGAGGACTTGAGGCCGCTAACTCTGTAGAATATGCAAAAGAAAAAAAAGTGTCATTAAAAATTAAATTGAACTCCTCATTCCCCACAGAATAAAAAAAGGGAAAAAAGGCTATTCTACTGCCAGAAGAGATCAGGTGTTATAAATAATGTTGTAAATTTATAACACCAGTTGTAGAAAAGAAATCTTCTCTTTATTAAATATAGGCAAATAATAACAAGCATGGCTAGCGCAGAAAAATATGTATATATAACCCAAAAAATGGAATACCTACTTCAGAAGGAATCAAGAGAAAATCTCTAAATCTCCTTGCATAGAAAAGCTACATAACAGTAAACCTGGAGGCTGGAACTGTGATTCCTTATGACTTGCAGAAAACCACAACCATCTGTCTCCTCTTTCCCATGCCCTTATTAAGACACACACCTATTACATCTGTTTGGCCTAAAACATTTTCTTGCCTACTAACGAGTTCAAGTAGTTGTAAAACAACAGGTGAGTTATTTGAATTCTAGTGGATAGAGGCAAACAGATATCTTGCATTGACAAACACTGTTTCAGAGTTGTTGCCATCAACTTCTACAATATCCCTAGTTCTTTCCAGTTAAGCTTGATTCTTAATTGAGAAGTCCATCTTATTATTGTTTATATTAAAATTATATATAATCAGAAATTAAATTCTAATTCCTGAATGAACTCTTCCTTCCTTCGTAACTCAGTCCAAGTGTCATCCTTGTTAAAAAGTAGATAAACCTAAACCATCTAAAGAGAAAGGGAAAAAACAATAACATCAACAAAGTGTACATTCATTTGACCATTAGACCAAAAGAATGCACATTCATTGCCCCTTCAAATTCTGCACAAAGCTAATATAAAGCAACCATTCCACTCTATCAGCAACCAAAAAACAGTTCAAAACTTTCAACTCAATTAGTGACCCTCAATTATGTCAACTTCTAACTTGGTACTCCACGGATTCCCTTGGACAACCACAATTCCTTAAATGCACATACATTTACAATGTACCAAAAAAATCGCATTAAATGTCTCAAATGCATTAGAAGATAAACTTAACTGCTAAGTGCAAACATGCATTGTTAGTAACACCACCAAAATAGAATGGAGACCAAGAATTGCAACCTTAAAAACTAGAGTTTGAAATTTAGCAGAAACTGACCATTTTCAGCCAAAGGAACCTCGGAAAAGTACCAGCGGACATCACCCCCGTCTGAAGGACTCCTTGTCTGCGCAAGATACATCTGACGACCCTTACAATTCTCTATCAAATCCTCTAACCTGGCAATGTTAGAGGGCGTGTTCTTCAACAAATCCGGTGATGTTTCGTCAATTCCATTTCCCCCCACAACCGAGGAATTTGTGGACGAATCCGCCATTGAATATCAAAACTCCGATCAGAATACCTGCACTGTATCAAGCAGGCTGAAACCCTTAATTTTTATCAAAAATTTGAGATCTAAAAGAAATGAAGCATATAGGAAGACCCGAAATAGAATTTGAAAGCTGAAGATATGATCAATTACCGCCAAATAAAACGTCAAAAAATTGATAGAAATTGATGCACAAGATCCTGAATTCTCTTCGAAGCAGCTGGCGCCTCTTGCTGCTGCTTCTTAAATTTGACGATAGCTAGTAACTTGTGATTATTTATTTGCTCCTATCAGAATTGCAGTAATAAACTGCAAAGTAAAGAACAATAGTAATTATATCAAGTACAGAAATAATTTTCCAAGAGAGTTCGTTCTGATTCTAATTCGAAAAAAACCTTTATAACACATTGCGAAAATAATTAGACAGGCGTGACGATGATGATTCTCTACCGTGGGCGGAGGCAGATCATCAAACAGAAGACAAGTTTCTTTGCGTAATAAACTAATAATATTGTTGGGCTATCATTATTCGTATCTAATTTAACTCATTGGGTTTCCCTTTTGGACCGCACTTATATTATTTTATTTTGCTTTTGGTATATACTGTTATTAGAGTAAATTACAAGTTTGGTCACCTTTATTTCAATTTTATCTAGTTTTAATCATTGATATTGAAAAAAAAAACTAATTTTGATCACTTACATTATCAATTTATTATATTTTGATCGTTAACTCTAGTTGCTTTGATGACATTATATGTTAAAGAATGATTAATTTTTAATTTGTCTTTTAAACTTTAAATAGAATATTAATTCAATCATATACTTTAGATAAAATATCAATTTGACATCAGAATATGATCAAAGTTCACATCTTATGTCATCATTATCATTGGTAGCGATAGTATTTGAACCCCAATTTTTTTAATTAACCTCTTTTTATGTCATGCCTCAATTTAGGGGTTAATTTTTTAGTAATAATTTCACTAATTAATATTAAATCTAAACTTTAAAGGGCCTAATTAGTTTAATTAAAAAGTTTCATTTTCCATTTTCACGCCGTTTCATTTATTTTGTTCTCTCATTTTCATCGGGCGGTTTTCAGCGAAGCTCCGATCATCGTCTTGGCGTCATTCGTAATTTCGTATGGTGCACCGTCGTCGTTAATCAACAGCCGTTGGTCATTCGATCTGAACCCAAGTGAGTGGTGGCTGCTTTGGTGTCATATATGTAAATTTTGAGGACAGGAACTCTCAATGGATCAAGCATGTTAATTTATATAGGTTAATAGTTACGATTAATGGTTACGCTTTTGTTCGTGTTTTCGTTTATTAATAAACATAAATATTTTTGTTAACATTCCTTTATTTAGGTTAACAGATGAAAATAAACAAATGTTATATGAACAGTTTATCGAACATTCTATTCATTTACACTCCTAATATTTTTCCAATGCCCCGTCACATCTTTCCATTTTAAATTTTTATTGTATTTGGTTTTTTATATTTCCTAAAAAAATAAATGGGACAAACAACTCATTCAAACATTTCGAGTTTCGATGATCGAAGGCTTAGATCGATGATCTTCACGGTGAAAAAGGTTTCACTAGATAAGAGAAATTGCATATTTTGAAATCGAGTTTATCAGATGATAAACAACATAGATCCAATGAAGAAAGGTTCAAAAAATTAAGTTTAAATCTTAATTTTATAGTCCATCTCAAAAAAATTCAAACTAACTTTAATTATAATATATAAATATGTAGTTTATCCTAACTTTAATTATAATATATAAGTATATTTTAAATATGAGAGTAATGGAACCCAACCGCAGAGATAGAAACCGTAGGGAAATATCTGCAACTGCTAGAGTGGTCAAAGAGGGAGCTGGACTTTGTGCGCGATGCCCCCAACCATTTAGACGGTGCATTCAATCAAACATTTGCCTCATTTCCATCGACAACTTCTCCATATCACTTCAAGCTTGCCTCATTTAGACGGTGATGGAACTTATAAATTATATGCATTAGAGTTATTTGCTTGATTTCGGACATTTCTAGAATGCCTCTACAAGAGGGATAAACTTCTAACATATCCTTCATCAAAGTTATGAGTTGCTTTATTATGATGTATAGCTAATGTTACGGATTCTCCTATTGAAGGGCTTATTCTTGGGGAGAAGTAGAGGAATTAGGAGTTCCCAGTGTACCTTTATGGTAGGAAGCAGAATCAACTTTCCAAGGCAGAAAGCTCAGTCAACCCAAGTTAGATGTAGATCTAGCAAGCATGGAGGAGCTCTTGGTGCTACATGCCATGCTGAGAAAATTTTGGTCGCAAATAGAGTAGAAATCGCTGTTCGTGTAATCCGAACAGCTCATGAGATGGGAATACCATGTGTTGCTGTTTATTCAACAATTGATAAGGATGCACTTCATGTGAAGTTGGCTGATGAATCAGTTTGGATAGGCGACGCACCTAGCAGTCAATCGTAAATAGTCGTCTCTTGATCATCTATGGTTTCCTTATATGTTTCTATCATAATTGTCTTGATTTTTAAATCAAATTGCTCTGAAACTTGTGTTTTTACTTGCTACATAGTTAGATGCTCCTTGTTTAATCTTTATTTGTTGATTGAATTAGAGATCTGTAGTATGGAGAAAATGGGAATGAATCAATTTCCAAGATGAAAATACTGATTTAAATTATACCTATTAGATAAGTTTCAACCAGCTATAACACATGAAAAAGGTACCGATTTAAATTATATCTGTTAGATAAGTTTTAGGTAACTATAATACATGAAAAGTACTGAAAGTTGTATGAAGATTTAACGGAAAAAACTTGCATGTGACAATTCAATGTTTCAGAATGTTCTCATCATTTTAGGTTAGTTTTGATTCTGGTAAATTTTACAACCTTCTTTGCTTCTTTTAAGATTTGGAAGCTCAACTTCCTTTGGATTTAAATTGAATTTTGTTGTCTTGATTTGAAGAAACAAGTGTATAAATTCTCTTTAGGTTGTTTCCAGTGGCCGTACGCATATTATTGAGCATATATAAGCCATTTCTTTGTTTTGTTTTATTTGATGCACATGCCTTTTTGTTGTCTGCTTTTACAATCTTTATCTTTGTTTTGGCATTCTGTATCACAAGCGTACCAATGCCGTGCTTTTGTGCTCAGGGTCTGTGTATTTATTCAGTTTGAGTACTGATAACAGCATAATTTTTATGTTTGACTGCCTTTTGTTCAGGTATTTATTGATTCCAAATGTTCTATCTGCTGCAATTAGTCGTAACTGTACCATGCTTCATCCTGGATATGGTTTCCTTGCTGAGAATGCAGTTTTTGTATAAATGTGACGAGATCACAGGGTCAACTTTATTGTGCCTAATGTATGTACACAACTATCAGGTTATGTGAGAATAATTTGTTATTGGAAATCTAGGTTTTTGTCTTTCTAATTAATTGGAATGAGTAATTCATAATGGCATTTTCCTGCTTAAAAGTAATGAATGTGTAATGGTGGATAGCATGTTGATATATAGAGTTGTAACCTGTGGTTTCTTTTCAGGCTATTGAATTTAGTTTTCATAATCATATCGGATACCTTATGGTGCCATTAACCACCAGTTAATACGAGCTACCTCAATACAAAAGTGTTTTTAGATGTTTGAAATGGATACTGAGCGTAGAAAAGCAAAATTTTCTCTCGGCATATATTTTAATTACTTTATATGTGTGTGCAGTTCGTAGATACACTTATAAGAGGATGCATCTCTTTGTTTGTTGTTTGCCTATCCAGAATGTTCGCTTTTGGTGTTTTATCTAGAATCTGAATTATCTGCAGTATTTTGACTTCGTTTTCTGCAGTTATTTTAGTCTTTCGTGGTCGGAGTTGTTTGCTTTCAGTATTTAGTTTCAATTCATCGCTGCTAAATAAATTATCTGTTTGGCGAGCGGATTACTTGACAATTTGTGAGCTATGTCTGCTACTTCTTGTGGTCACTAGAAACTTTCTCACCAAGATTTGTTTACTGTAGTCAGATACCTTTTCTTTTAATTCTTTTTGCTTATAAGTCATGCATTCAGGATTCTCATCAGCATTATGAATGGGCAAGTGTATGATAAGTTTTTTTTTTTATAAAAAATAAGAGGTCTCATTAAAAAAAACCCTTAATAACCTTCAAACTACGAAAGTAGTTTAAAGAACATTGAAAGGAATAAATGAGTGCCTCAAAATTTATTTAAATAATACTAAGTACAATACAACAATGAGTCAGAACACACCTCAACCCAAAACTGACCAAACATACAAACCCACACTTAAACAACCAGCAACACCCAGAAACCCATGACGATTACAAAAAGAAAAGGGCGTAAAAGGAAGGAGCTTTAGAAATGCAATCTCATAGGAGGAAAAAAGAAGAAAATAAATGAGAGTTTGGCAACTTCAACAACCATGGTTTCTTCTTCGGTGAACTTAAGTTCACTCATAAGTTTAGCAACTTCATCGACCATGATAACACTGAGAAATTGGATATGATTTCCTGTCAAAAGTCGAATGAGTCTTTTGTGTAGTTAGACAATCCTCTCCAAAGAAATGAGCCTTGGTGGCCGTCAATAATTGTAAGAGTACACGTGGGCGGGGTCAAAGTGATTGGATCAAAAAATTAAACAAAGTGATTTTACCCGATTAAGCAATATGGAAAGTCCATATCTTGGATTCCATGCAGACCGTGCACGTAAAAATGGCCTCAAATTAAGAAGCCTTTTATAGTTGAGAGAGATAAGTTGTGTGTGCAATATTAAGCCAAGTGGCCCATCATGAAGGAGTAGAGTAATCGACCGTCCTCAAATCCATCCCCCATTAACGACAAAGGACTCAACATCAAAGCATTGCTCTCCGAGAATCGTAGGTTCATAAATAATCAATAAGTCATGATTATTCATAAATTTATTTAAAGTTTTAAAATTGTATTCACTAATATATCAAACAATAATCATATATAAATAGTCTTGTAATCAAACGGGAAGAAGATGAGAATAAATGGTTTAGAAAATGAAAATATTTAAAGATGATAATGAGTTCATATGTTTGACTTTGAAGGCATGAATGTGCAAATAATTAAGTATTTAGGATGATGTTTTATGGTAAAACCACGTTACACATCTACTAAAATACTTGCTAAAATTGTTATGCAAATCACAGCTATCCAAACTTTATCACGAAAGAGATTACTTCCCCTCTCTCTTTTTCATAATTCTAAACCGTATTTTCGGGGTAAGGGAGTAAGGTCACCTTACTCGTCATTAGTTGGATAACTCACTTGACTAGTATTGTACAACAACCTCTTAGTTTGGAACCCAAACCTACTAAACAGAAAAAGAACCAAAGTAATGTCGGCAACCTCTTAGTTTGAAACTCCAAACCTGATACTCGAGGCGACATACGTGGCAACCGCAAAAGAAAGGAGCCCAGCGGCCGCGAAATCCTAGCGCTAGACCTACACCCATTGACGAATCACGAATGACCGAAAATGGCCACCTGAGAAGATCTCACCATTTTCTCAGTTGATGGGACTCACTCGGATCGTTACATAAATGAAATAAATAGCAACAAAAGGAGATGAATGATTAAACCTCTCCAAACAGAGATGAATCACAAGAAACATGGAGGAAGAAAAGAATAAGCAGAGGGGTTGATACACAGGTCAAAATATTGAGATGATGGAGTAGAGACAGGTAGAGTGACCAACAAAATCCAATGTATAAAGTTTTGTGATTAAATTGAAAATAATTAATAATAAAGTGAGTAAAATAGGATAGAGAATAAAGTTTAGTGAGTAAATTTGTAATTTATCCAAGTTTTGAAAATATAGTATATCGAATAGTACACACTCCTTTCGTGTTAGTATCATTCACAAAAACTAGACCACCGCCGAGTTACTTTAGCCTATCAACTCCTCCCTCTTCTCGTTCTCACAATCTTCTTTCTCCTGGACTCTGCAAATTCTTGGCTGACCTACTGCGCTTCACTCAATGCAATTACAATCGCAAGCCGTTGCTTGCACGCTCTCTGTCTGTTGGTGCATCTTCATTTCTATTTCTATTTCTATTTTAAAAAGCTTCCCGTATCATTTAATCATCCCCTTTGCATTTTCATTTTAATGGATTCTGATTCTAACATCTGCTTGGCGCATGATGCTGTTGGTTGATGAATTGCAATTTTGCAGGTTCAGCCAAGGCTATGACGACGACCACCAGATTGTCTATGAATGCTAATTTTTCCATTTCTAAGCCTCCCAATTCAATTGATGCGGCTTTGAACCTTAGACTATGCTGTCTGAAAAATGTTTGCTCATTTGGTTGGAAACTCCATTCTCAATCCTGTTTCGTTCATGTCAATAGTTTCAGGTATGCAACTTTACCCATAGCTCCAGAAATATGCCCTTAAATTTGGGTCAAATAGGGTGGGGATATCTTTTTTCTTAGATGTTACAGGGGTTTAAATTGCGGTTGTGGTTGTGTTAATTGCATACATAGTGGGTGCTATTGTCGTCAATACTAGTATCACCGTCATGCAATAACGGTTTTGGACGGCACCAGTACTGCAATATAACTGTTGCTATTGGGACAGTGGACCGCAATTTAAATCCCTGGTTGTTATGTTCAAGAACTGAAATTAGTTTTATCGAGGATTCTACCCATAGTGTAATTGAACTTCGGGGTTTTTTTTTCCTGCAGTAGAATGGAATGGTCTATTAGAAGCAGTGTGGATGGCAGTGGGTTTGATCCTTCTTCCGGTAATGGCGGTAGGCCCAGATTAATTAGGGCCATCCAAGGTATTCAAACCAAACTAGGTGTGAGGATTCAGGAATTAAGGAAAAATCTCCCCATGAAGATACTGTTTTTCTTGGTAGGATTTTATTGTGCAACAGCATTTGCAACTGTTATTGGGCAGACAGGTGACTGGGATATTCTATCTGCTGCCTTGGCTGTCTTCATTGTGGAGGGGATAGGAGCCCTCATGTATAGGGCCTCTCTTCCTCTACTCAACAATGTTAAGAGTCTGATCACCATGTTTAACTACTGGAAAGCTGGGCTTTCTCTCGGTCTCTTCTTGGATTCATTTAAGTATGAACTGGATAAGCTTACTGGCTTTAGCATTCCCTCGAGTTTTGATCTTGATGTTTTTGCACTATTCGTGTAGCCTGCTGCTGTTAGCCTGTTACTGTATGCTGTTATCCTAATATATAGCGTGCATCCATCATAAGATATGTATTGACACAAGCGAGTCAAGACTTGAATGCATGGACGGGTTCGAAACGTCTGGTTGCCACTCAGGCCATTTGATCGACTATAAATGGTAGCATTAAGAAGAAAGCAATCCAGTTGTGAAGTTCTTCAGAGAAAATAGTTGCTCATTTCATTTGGAGAAATTCTTTGCCTTGTCACCATTGGTGCTTTTTGGTTCCCTAGGTTCATTCTTAGCTTGAAATAGAAGGTAGAATTTCGTGGTCATCCATGTACTAGAGGGACATTGTTATGATCATTTGGAGATGAGATAACTGAAAAGGTGTTTTCCACATTTCGGGTTCACCCAAATGACCGATTCACGAGGTACATTCTGAACTTTGGTTGACATTCGACTGTGGTTGTTTTGTCCTTTCGGAAGCACTTCCCATGGTTTCTAAATGAGAAAAGTTTCTCAGCTTGATTCAAGTATCAAAGGAAACCACTTATTTCTGGCCTGTATATTGTATACCTTTTAGTAGATGTCCATAAGTTAAGGGCATATAAGAATGTATAAGGCTTATGGGAGTAGCGTAGGATCATTTAACTCCAGTATTACACTTGTTTAGTAACACGCACATAAAAATTATCATTTATAGTGTTTATTACTCAAAATACCCTACATGCATTATAGTAATAAGCAAAGCATTAAGTTTATAAAATGCACGAAGCATTTTAGAGTAATAAGTGTACTACCTTAAGCTTAGCAACAAAAAAAAGCTCTTATGATTAGCTTTCACCAACATTCTTAATTCCTCTGGTACAAGAAGACTCTCCTCTTTCTTTTAATAATCAATAAGCTCGAAAATGAAAATTTCAAATTAACACAACTTTTAGGGAAGTAATAACACAAATTTAGTAACATACAAATGTCATAAATGTAGATTAGAATAACTTTATGAATTGAACCCTCTCAATATCTCGTATAGCTTCGCACAATCTTCAATGGAAGATGATGACCTTATTTTTAAGCTCTTGAGATTTTAAGAATAAATCTTACCTTTTCAATCTTACGTTGTAAGAGAAAAGGTGGTCGAAAATAAGCTTCAGGTCAACTATGTACCAACACTACATCAAGTAGCTGATGCTTAACTAAGCCACTGACATAGGCGTATTTTGTCATGTTTCGAGACAAACTAAGTGTTCCATCACCTAAAGATCTACTAGGAGCAAGAAGCGCTGGGAGAATGTTAGCTTAATGGTATGAGGACTGTTAGGTGGGAGTTGGGTGTTATTTGTGATATGTTAAGTTGGTAGTTACAAGTAAACTAGTAGTTATAGCTAGAGTTATAAACAAGTTTGTGTACATGACTTTGAAAATATGTTGTTTTCACTTGATTGATATGAACTTCATTAGATAGTTCTTTCTTATTTTTTTAGGCATAATGTAAACAAATACCCCTAACGTTTAACAATATATGCAATTGTGCCCCTATTGTTTTTTTGGAACATTTGATCCCCAAGTTTCATTTTGGGTCAAAAAAACACTCTCGTTAAATGAAAATCGTTAGTCAACTGAAGTTGACTCAGCAAGAACATGTGGAGGGAGATGGTGATGTGTCATGTATATATCATAGTGGACGATGACGTGGCAGATCCACATTGACTAAATGCTGACGTGACATATCCACGTCTGATGCCATGTCAATATTTTTTTAATTAATTAATAATAAATAAATATTTTTTTACTAAATTAATAACAATCAATTAGATGTTGTCACGTGGCATATAGATTTTTTATAAAATTAAAAAAAAGGAGGGATTAAACCTCCACAAAATTTTACAACCCATGAGATTTGAACATGGGTCTAAGAGTTAAAAGTTTTGATGCCTAACCGTCAAGTCACTTGGGTTGTTATTGAATGGCTAATAACATCATTTAAATTATATTATTGTCATCAAAACAACTACTAACACAAGTATTTTTTTTTATTTTAATTAATTTTAAATTTATAAACTTAAAAAAAATAAAATGATTTATTCTTTTAACACAAGGACTCCAAAAGCCACACCAACACTCACACCGACTATAGCACCAACTTTCTTCTTTGAACTTGAACGCGGAGTACTCGCATTTCCCGAGCCAGTAAGGCTGCCATCAGGATTGTTCAATTTCATGATTTCAAGCCCATTTAGTATGGTTGGCATAAGGGTAAACATCATGTAAATTCGATGGACCGCTGCTTACTCGAAGCTTATTCGTCATGGTTGAATCTGTAACATAATCCATATAATATGCAGCAGCCAAAACATTAACCGAGTAAGTACTGAGATCAAGGTCCCGAACAACCATTGAGGAGTCGATGAAAATATTGAAATACAGCTGATTAAAAGTAGTGCTGACAATATCACAAAAATTAAACCTAACAAGGTACTGAAATCCCTGATCCACGTCGAATTCCCATGTCACATCGAAGTTGCTATTAGGGTCGCCTAAGGAGTTCATCTTGGTGCAGGTACCATAAACAGAAGCTGGAGCAATCTCTGGTGTTGATCCACCATCAACATACTTAACAGATCTAATATTCGATACAGTTGAGGCAAGATTCTTTTCAATAAGAAAACTCTGTTCAGGGACCCATGTCCGAGAAAGTGTATCGTTGTCGAAGGAGGCCATCGGTCCTCCCATATTCACCCTAGCAACAGTCTCTAGTGCCTGCCACATCAAGCCTTGGAACCCCATTGACGATTTATCGGTACGTGCATTGTCCGGAATGAGCTGATCAGGGGCCGAAACAACTTCTAAAGCATTTATAAAAGCAAATGAATTCTCTGAAGGAGTGAATATGATGGTGAGGCTGTTGGTGGTTACATTAACAGAGAATTCTTTGACAAGAGGAACTCCAACACTGAGACTGCTGAGAAGGACATGGTTTTCAGTGGAAACATCGAACCTTGCCAAGCTCAAATCTTAACTAGCATAAACAAATGGATAGAAATAAAGGCGAATCCAATGTCTTCCTTGCTGTTAGAAAACGTATACTCAGATATACCGGTAAAGATCCTCGCTGTTCGATAGAGCCGTGAAACAGCTGAAGAGGTAATAGATTTTGAAGTGTTCCCGACAACACTTCGTGGTGCAGAAAAGAATTTAGAGGCCAAGTCATCAGCCATGAAAACTCGACCACTTACTGTGTTATTAGTAAGTGATCCGCAATCAATAAGGTAGTTGTCTGCAGGTTTAAACCCTATAGCAGAGCATGCCAAACACAAGACTGAAGAAACCCAGAAAAGCAATTCAAACATCTTACAACCATCTTTGCAAAATCCAAGGAACTAACAGGACGCTAAAGTTTGAATCTTTTCTGTGCTTAACAGGCACCAAAATCCTGGGTTCTTAGAGAAACAACTGGTAAATAGCAAACAATAATAGAAATAAAAAACCAACCAAGAGATCTTAATAAGGGAAGACAATATCCGGGAAAATAGCAAAGGAACTGAATCAAAGAAATGAAAGATGGAATCTTTGAAGTTCAGAGAAGATGAGAGGAGCCCCCTGACTCAAAAATGTAATCTTTTACGCAGCTATTTGGGAATTTAGCAGGGTTTCCATTGATACACGCCTAGTTTTTTTGTTTTCTTTTCCATTTTTGTTCATATGTTCTTAAATAAACAGGAAACAAATAGTCTAAAGGTGGTGAAAGACATATAAATAAGCAGCACAAATAATAATAACACACACAAAAAAGGAAATGTCTAAATGTAAATTTCTGGAATGGTAAACTGTTTAAAGTTTATAAATTTAAAAAAAAAATACTTGTGTTAGTAGTGGTTTTGATGGCTACAACATATTTTAAATAATATTATTAGGCATTCAATAATAATTAAGTGACTTGTCCGGGTGGTTAGGCATCCAGGCTTTCAATCTTTATACATAGGTTCAAATTCAATGAGTTGTAAAATTTTGTAGAGATTTAATCTCTCCTTTTTTAATTTAATAAAAAATTCATGTGTCAAGTAACAATATTTGATTGATTATTATTAATTTAATAAAAAATAATTATTTATTATTAATTAATTAAAAAAATTATTGACGTGACATCACACGTAAACATATCACATCAACATTTAATTTAAGTGAATTTGTCATGTTATCTACTATGATATAGACATAACATGCCAGTATCTTCCTCTACTTATTTTTGCTAAATCAAGTTTAGACATAGATTATTAGTTGATTAATAATTTTTATCCCGATGATAATTTTTGACCTAAAATAAAACTAAAATTATAGGAGTAAAATTGTTTTTTTATGCTTTGTTGTAATGCTGTACTTCATTCTTACTTTCTAAGTCATATTCATCTGGTTACGAGTTACAACAAGCTGAAATATTAGCTTTAGCAAAGAAAATAAACAAAGCAAAAAAGAAAAAATGCAAGAGACGATCGTCCTCTACCCATCGCCAGGGTTGGGCCATGTTTTGTCAATGGTGGAGCTCGGCAAACTCATTCTCAGCCGCTCAAACAACCGCTATTCCATCTCCATCCTACTCACTACTGGCTTTTGGGATACCCCTTCTATCTTCTCTCACATCGATTCCGTCTCCAAAGCTTTCCCCTCCATCTCCTTCTTACGCTTCCCTTCCATCTCCGTCGATCTATCCCAGAACTGCAGTGCCGTCGCCATTTGGTTCCAATTCATCCGCCTTCAGGCACCCAACGCACACCGTTCTCTCCAAGAAATCTCCAAAACTCGCAAAGTCTCCGCTTTTGTCATAGATCTTTTCTGCACTTCGACTTTATCAGTAGGAAAAGATCTCAAGATCCCTACTTTTTACTTCTTCACCTCCGGTGCTTCTACTCTTGCAGCCTTCCTTCAGATCCCTCAGTTTGATAACCAAACCAGTGGAAAAAGCTTCAAAGATCTCCCCGACACAATCTTCCATTTCCAGGGCGTGCCGCCGTTGAGAGCAGTACACATGCCTGAACCTTTACTTGATAGACAAGATCCGGCTTATCATGAGTTGATGTACTTCATTTCAAGTCTCCAACAATCCGATGGAATCATAGTTAACACTTTCGAAGATCTCGAACCCATTTCCGTCAAGGCTATTGCTGATGGTTTATGCCTTCCCGATGCTCCAACTCCGCCAACTTTCTACGTCGGACCGTTGATTGTAGCAGGTAAAGGTGAAGCCGAAAGCAACTACTGTTTATCATGGCTGGAGAAGCAGCCGAGTGGAAGCGTTGTGTTCTTGTGCTTCGGAAGCCGTGGAACGTTCTATCCATCCCAAGTTAAGGAAATAGCCAAAGGGTTGGAGATGAGTGGGCAAAGGTTCCTTTGGGTTGTAAACGATCCACCCAACAATGAGAAGAAAACAAAGCAAGCTGAAGATTGCCCCAATGTCGATTTGGATTATCTTTTACCAGAAGGGTTTATAGAGAGAACCAAAGATAGGGGTCTGGTTGTGAAGTCATTTGTGCCACAAGTAGCAGTGCTGAACAAGGATTCTGTCGGTGGCTTCGTGACTCACTGTGGGTGGAACTCGGTACTGGAAGCAGTGGTCGCGGGGGTGCCAATGATTGCATGGCCTTTATATGCAGAACAACACTTGAACCGGAACATATTGGTTGAGGACATGAAGATGGCTATTCCGGTGGAGCAAAGGGATGGGGATGGGTTTGTGATTGGGACTGAGTTGGAGAAGCGAGTGAGAGAGTTGATGGAAATGGAGAATGGCAAGGTGCTTAGAGAAAGGAGCATGAAGATGAAACAAAAGGCATTGGCTTCTTTGGGTCCAACAGGGTGTTCCATTAAAGCACTTACCAAGCTAGTTGAATTATGGAATCAAGGATGAGGCTCTGCTTAATTTTAGTGCTCTCAATGTTGTTGATCTTTCTGCCGATCTCAATTTGATAAATTCAGCAATTTAATTTTCTTATCATCCACTTGGATTCTATTTGATAAATTCAGCAATTTTATGATTTAAGGGATTCAAATAAAAAATCACATTTTAAGGAGCTAGAAATCAGTTAAACTCAAATCAAGGGAGCTTACATCAAGGGGACTAAATAAAATAAACATCCTTTATTCCTTTTTCTTTGGGTGGCCACCATTATATAAAGAGGGCTAAAATAAAGAGAGAGGTGTCTTCCATTTTCTCCTTCCTTTGACGGTCACCATTGTTGGAGGAGGAAGCACCTTGAAGCTTCTTAAGTTTTCGGAAGAAGCTTGAGATGATGAAGCTGTTCACGTCGCTGCAAGGGGTCATGCCGTGGCAACAGAAAATACAAGGGGATATTTGATCTATTATTTCCTTGTGTTATTCATAATTTCTAGATTTTGTAAGCATGATATTTGGATTTGTTATAATGGATGATTAATACTCGACCATGAACTGATTTAATTTATATGAGCTAACATTGGATTTGAAATTTTTAATTCAGATGATGCTTGAGTTATTTTATTATCTATTTACTTTATCCATTTTTCTTGATTATCAAAGTTCATAAAAGTTTTTAAAAATTAGCATTAAACGTATTTATTTGTTTATTTACAGAAGAGTTAAGTTTTAGAACTAAAATAGATAATGAATTTTTAACTAGAAGTTTGTAAAACCTAACTCACCTCGGGAATAAGGAAGAGTTTTAATCGCCTAAAAGGAGTGGTGCTTAATTGGTGATCATATTTTATAGGTTTACACATGATGTATTACGTAGCATATTGTCATCGGATCGTCTGCTAGGCATAGTAGAATGGTATGTTTAAATACTCCGCCGAAACATTTAGATGCTAATAATTGTCGTGGCATCCCAAATAATTAGAATACCTTTTTTTTTCTTAATAAACGAAACATATTTCACCAGAGGTAGCAAACGTGTCATTTGGAACAAGTTCGGATCGGATCATTTTAGGTTGAGTCATTTCGGTTTTAGACTTGATTCGGTCATTTTAGGTTCGGTTTTATTTTGGGTCCATGGTAAGTCGGGTTGGGTTGGTTTTCAAGTCGGGTCAATATCGAATAGGTTGATTTTCGGGTCAGGTCAATATCAGATTGGTTGGTTTCGGGTCGGATCAATCGATTTTCGAGTTGGGTCAATATGAGATTGAACAATCTCGGTTCAGGTCAATATTTATATTTTCGGGTCAATTTGGGTTGAATTAAGTATGAGTCTAATCGAGTATATATAAAATTATTGATATATTCTTATAATAAAAAATATATTTTAGTTTGTCAATCTTATCATTTAGGTTCAAGTTCAACTTTCAACATTCAATGTTTTAAATAACACTATCATTTATGGATAACAATTTGACTCGAACCACATATTAGATTTTCTGACTTGAATTTTATATTAATATAACCTAAAAAGTTTGTGGTACGACCTATTTAGTGAAGAATTAAATTTAAAATTATAAATTTTATTCTCAATTAAAAATTTTAATTAGATATTTGATGCTTAATTATAAATATAATATTTATTGAATTTTAAAAGATAATATAATAATTATATTTGAATTTACTATATTTCATCCTCTTATTTACAATTACTTGTTGGCTTGACTTTACTATTTTCGTGGCATATTTATTTCAATTTACTATTTTGTTTTACTACTTATTATTTTGGTATAATAACAAAATTTCACCCCAACATTTACATAAATGGTCGTTGTATACCTTATTCTTTTTTTAGAGCATTCTACTCCATAATGTTTCAATTTTTATTTAAAACAAATGTTAGGTGAAAATTATTAGTTGATTGACGTAGTATTTCATACATGTCCAATTGTTAACATGGCTTATGTCATATCATCATTTTTAGTGTTATGACACACGTCATATCTTTATTTGTTACCACATCATCATTTTAAATGATGTTATATATATCACATCATCACTTTGAATGATGTGACACATATCACATCATCAATTGAATATATGTTAAAATGTCAAGTCAGGAACATAAATTGATCGTTGTCAACTAACGATTTTCATCTAATAGGATTTGTTTTGATCAAAATTGAAATGATGGGGTAAAATATTGTTAAAAAAAAGAATAGAGGACAGTTACCCTTCATGTAAACATTAAGGGTATTTCTATCATTATGCTTATTATCTTACAATATTTCCATCTCACCATTACATATAATCATATTTTCAATGCAAATACTTGAAGTTTAATCCCATCAATCCTTGTGGAAACAATCTTACTAATCACTTTATTACTTGTCCGACATATATATTTGCACACTTGCATACACACGCAACAAATGTAATATAATGTTTTCATGTACTTCATATTCATATTCAAGTTCGAGTTTGAACTTCAATAAAGTTAAAATTGAGAATATTTCAAATTCAAGTTTTTCTGAGCTCGAATTTAATTTTAATTTTTAATTTCAAGTTCAAATCGAGCTTGATAATTTTAAAATTGCGAACTTTCAAATCTAGTCAAGCTCAGTAATACTTGAACTCCACTGTGGTCGTTTATAGCCTTAGTTTCCATAATAGAGGTTACTTTGATAACCTATTATTTCAATTAAGTTGTCTCAATATATACTTGTGTGCGTAAATATTCAAAATGAATATTTCTATAATAGATATGGATTAATTTTTTTATCAAATTAAAATAATTATGTACTTTAAAATATAAAATATATTTTATAATTCATAATAATAATAATAACATATGCTTACAATTATATATATATGATCTTTAAAAAATAATAGTATATACATTCTAATACTAAAATGAAATATATAATACATGATCCATAGCATTAGATATGTATTCAAAACTTGACTTGGATTTAAAACATTAATAATGTAAATTATTAATTCAATTTAAAGATATAAATAGAAATTATGTTATCTCCATTATTGTTCTAGCATCGTGCGTAAAGATAAATAAACATCAATGTCAAACTTCATGGCAACTTAAGAAGTATAACAACTAAATTCGGAACCACAGAACCCTTGGAGTTCTGATCACAAACAAAGACTTCCCACCAAGCAAAAGCAATCACAAATTCGAAATCTAATCACCATAAAATTTTAAACGAACGTAAGCAAATTATCTTGGTGTTTGCTTGTGAAGTCTGAAGCAGCAAACAAATCCTTAATTCATCATGCTGTATAAGTGATTAAAATCAAGCACAGGCCTCGACCTTGATTCCATAACTCAACCAGCTTGGTAAGCAAAAGCAAATGGAGAATGGAAAGGTGCTTAGAGAAAGGAGCAGGAAGACGAAACAAAATGCATTGGCTGCATTGGGTCCGTCAGGGTCTTCCATTAAAGCACTTACCAAGCTGGTTGAGTTATGGAATCAAGGTTGAGGCCTGAGCTTGATTTTAATCACTGATACAAGATGATGAATTAAGGATTTGGCTGTTGCTTCGGACCTCAGCAAGCAAACACCAAGATAATTTGCTTTCGTTCTTTTAAAATTTTATGGTGAAGTTTAGATTTAGAATTTGTGCTTGCTTTTGCTCGGTGGAAAGTCCTTGTTTGTGATCAGAACTCCATGTGTTCAGTGGTTGGGAATTTAGTTGTTATGCTTCGTAAGTTGCCATTAAGTTTGACATTGATGTTTATTTATCTTTACGCACGATACTAGAACAACAATGGAGACACCATAATTTCTATTTGTATCATAAAATTGAATTAATAATTTATATTATTAATGTTTTAAATCCATGTCAAGTTTTGAATTCATTGAATTATATATTTGATTTTAGTTTTGTAATGTATATACTATTATCTTTTATTGATTATATATATAGTTGTGTGCATGTGTTTTTATTATTATTATGAATTATAAATTTATATTTTATTGTAAAATACATAATTATTTTAGTTTGATAAAAAAATAGTTCCAATCCATGGCTATTATAGATATATATATATATATATATATAGTATCCTATTACATAATATAATTTTTTTAGTTCTATACAAATTTAGAGTGAAAATAAATGATCGAGATTAACTCTCTTTTTTTTCCAACAAATATCTTCTCATTTTATATTGTTAATCTTATTTGTCTATTTTCATTCATCTAACAATTTTAAATTTGTGTAAAACTAAAAATGTTTTACATTATTCAATTGGACAGAGTCATCTCAGACATTTCGAGACCCTAAACGAAAATTCAAAAATATGCCCTTATAGAATGAAAATATATTATATTATTTTGAACAATTACTTTAATATTACATTAATAAATCATAAAAAATGATTAAATTTTGTCAAACATTATTTTCATTGTTTTGTTAAGAAAGCTTAAAGACAACTAAGAGTATAAATAAAAAAATTAAAAAAAATGGTGTACTTTTTTACCGTTAAATTGAGATTGGAGAAGACAAAGAGTTAAATAATATTTGATAAATTGAAGAATGAGATTTGAAAAAAGAGAAAATATGATTAGATTTAATTCGAAATTAAATGATTTAATGAGAGAGATGTAGAAAGGATGGAAAATTGAGATTTTTATGGAATTAAAAAAAATTAGGGTGCTCACTTATAAAGGCAAAAAGTGATTTAAAAAAATTAGTGGCATCAATTATAAAGGTAGAAAGTGAGATTAAAAAAATTATGAACCTCAATTATAAAACTAGAAAATGAGATTAAAAAAATTAGGCGTCTCAATTATAAAGGTAGAAAGTGAGATTGAAAAAATTAAGGGCCTAAATTATAAAGTTAAAAGGTGGGATTAAAAAAATATGGACCTCAATTGTAAAGGTAGAAAATAGAATTGAAAAAAGGTTAGGACTTCAATTAAAAAGTTAAAAAAATTAGGGGTCTTGAGCAATCGCTTAGTGCTCCCTCAATTTTAAAAGTAAAAAATTATGATCTTATTACTAATGAAAAACTCTTTTAGTTTTATTAAATTTAAGACGTTGGGTGAGTGAAAATAGACAATTGAGATTAATAGTAGGAAATAAAAAGATATATATTGGAAAAAATAAATTAATCTCAATCGTCTATTTTAACTCATCCAACGGGCCTAAAACTGAGATTTTTTTCAAATTTTAAAGAATATAAAAGGGTTGCAAAAGTATTAATTTTTAGACTTTTTTTAAAAAAAATGCAAGTACGACATCAATTCACATGTGTTAATACTCCATAACTAAATGATAAAGCTGAAAAGAAGAATAAGATTTGATAGAAATACATCGAAGTATGCTTCATGGAAGAAACATTCGTTTTTGGATGAAAACAATAAAAACTGCAGCTTTTTCAATCAACAAACTTCCTCAACAAATGTTACGTTTTTTTCAACTTTTGAAAATTTGTGGAAAATGAAACCAACAATTAACTATTTTTGAATTTTTAGAAATGTTTCCTATATATTTGTACATGACCACTTAGTAAAATGAATAAAAAAAAAGTTATTAGGTGTAGTACGATAATCAGAGAAAAGGGCAGAGATGTTGTGATTCTACAGCTGGATAGTTTACAATTACCCAAAAAAAATATTGTGGCCAAAATGAGAGTATCCTAAACTTTGGGTGGCTAACTAGATAGTTTACAAGATGTGATAATATTATTAAAGGATGGTAATGAACTTGGATCATAATAAGGATAAATTACACCACGTGGTCATCGTTAGTCCTTAGAGTTGGAGATATAAAATAAGGGTAAACTATTTATTGGTCATCCATCTATTACTTAATTTATGTTTTCGATATCCAACTATTATATTATTAAATCATATTTGATGTTATGTTTTATTCTGATTTTGTTATTTATCATTAAAATATTAACAATGATGATATGTTACTATAAGATAATTAATACATATTAGTATTGAAAAATTATAAATAATAAATCGATATCAATATAATTATTATTTTTTAATAATATTATTAAAATAAAACTAAAACGCAATATTATATATGAGGTTAAAAAAATATAATCGTAGAATGAAAAAAAACTGAGTAATAAGTCGGTGACAAAAATAGATAGTTTACCCAAAACAATATTATAATCGGGAATCATTTGCGTATATAGCTCTTAATTTTTTTTAGTTGAAATACTGAATTATTTGAAACCCAGTACCAATCCCTATCACAATTTTAGGGTTATAAGGTTCTCCAATCTGATGGTTGAGTGAGTCTCAATTACTATCAAAGCTATGCCAATCTCCGCTGCTGAAACTCCACTCTTGGATGACACCGTTGATGGCTGCCTTGACTACAAAGGCCGACCTGTTCGCCGCTCCACCTCCGGTTGTTGGAGATCCGCTTCTTTCATCATAGCCGTCGAAATTGCTGAGAGGTTTTCTTATTACGGCATCTCTTCAAACCTCATAACTTACTTGACGGGGCCTCTGGGCGAGTCCACTGCTACCGCCGCCGCACAAGTCAACGCCTGGTATGGGGCGGCCTCGCTTCTGCCTCTCTTGGGTGCATTCATTGCTGATTCTTTTCTTGGCCGATACCGCACTATTATTCTCGCTTCCCTTGTTTACATTTTGGTAAACACACTTGTCCCTTCCTCTCTTTTTTGCCCCAATTGGAAGGATATAAAAAATAACTAATGTTTCATCATAATTTAGCGTCAATTAGTAAAATTTAAGCTATTAAAAGACAATCCATAATGCCTGGAATTTTGATTTAATATAATTAAATTATAATAATTTAGCGTATTAAATTTTACAATTTTCTACCAATTTCCCCTCCTCAAATACTGATTTAGGAAATAGACTGTGTACTTCATTTTGGAATAATACTTGACATTATTTTTAGTATTGGTTTCTAGGTTTGAGGATTGAATTTCCACATTAGTTATTGTGATCGAAGTTAGACTCAATTGAGAGTAATTTCGGAGAGAGAGAGAGAGAAGCTAGAGTAGATAACTTTGATCTTGATTCTACCATTGTCATTGTTATATGATAACTTTCTCATAATTCCTACGTCTAAATGTTTTTTCTGTCATTTTGGATGCTGTCTGGAGTCGATAAAGTCCTAGGTTCTCTGGTTTAAATGTGTTTAATATGGTTCCAATATGTAAAATATTTGTGCTTTGACTTCTTGGCTATCAAGAATAGACTTACTACAATGAAGAGAATGGCAAGTCTGGTAACACAGTGGAACATGGCTTTTTTCTCGTGAGAAAAAGATTCAATTTTCTTCTGTTGTAATCTGAGCTAGAGAGATTCAGAGATGGGGTATCTGAGCAACCATTCTAGATAAAAATGTATAGGCTCTTTAGAGTTGGTTAAAGAACCTAAGAATTTTTCTGCCTCAGTGCTAATGGAGGACTAGATTTTTTTCATGAAATCGTGCCTGTTTTGCAATTTCATGTTAATTTTTCGAGTTTTGACTGTTTATTGACATAGTTGATAGAAATCCAATTTTTAGTTTGAATATTTATTTGTGTACATTGAACAAAGCTTGCCTAGTGAATTCCATCTGCTTGTGCTTTGTTATTATCTGTTTGTAGAATGAAGTTCAATGGGAAATAGAAAGAACTAACACTGATCAGAGGCAAAACCAGTTATTAGATGGGTTGCTAGGACAACTAACATAGAGGCTGATGCCTTAGCTAAGGCTGGAATAGGCTGAGTTCTGTGTTGATGTTAGGGGCTGTTATTTTTGGGTTTCAAGTTATTTTGTAAGGGGTCATTCTAGGTGTTGTAATCGTTATGTATCATTTTTGTTATTAATTAAATATAAGGCACTCTTTTCCTCCTTCCGCTGATTAAGGAGCCTCTCTACGAGCTACATGAATCATGAAGGGGGTTTTTAACGAGGCCTTCAACTCTTATAAAAAAAAATTAAAAAAAGGGAGAAACGAGGAATTCATTGGGGGAGAGAAACCAGGGAGATTCAGTAAGGGAGAGAAATCTCAAACCCAATAATTTGTTATCTAAAAATATCGACATTTGATACTCCAGGCATACTAGATATCCAAACAAAATTGGTTTTTATAGCTGAATGAAACCGTAGTAAAAGGCATAACACCTAATATAAACCTAGTTATTTGGACTCCTGGCTGACTGGATATTACGTATGTGTTCGACATGAATATGCTCTACTTTTTAAAGTTTTTTTTCCATATATTTGGATCATCATACCTTATATTCATATCTTAATGTGTCGGAAATGGGTACTTTAAAAAAAATGAAAAATTCTGGAAACATAGGCCCTAAGACTGTAGTACTTGGAACTAAGGTAAGCTACTTAATGTAAAATTGCCTAATAACATAATTCTAAGTAAGGATTACAATTACTGTCATAAACTACTAAATTACTGAACAAATTGTTTAAGCAACTCCTTTCCTGTGCATATGCTTCTATGTATTAGAATTTGTTTGATCATCTTGTAAAACAAAGGGTTTGAATTTAGGTTTGACTTCAGAAGCTTTGGCACAATCTCACTTAAACACATTGTTCATTATGAATGAACACAATAATTCTCAAATTAGTGAAGTTTTTGTCGTTGTCAAACAAAAACTTTGAAGCTCAATTCAAGATTTGAGAAAAGCTGCTGTACTATCAATTGTACTTGAGGAATCTGTTTCTTGGCATAGCTTTTCTCATTTAAAGCTATAGAGTAGTCACAGGATTATTTTAATTGTTTTACTGATTGATTAGAGCACTTGCTAGCTGTTTTCTGTAATTTCTTATTTTGGAATTATTTATAGGGGCTAGGTTTGTTGACTCTGTCAGCCACACTTAGTTCTGTCAGCAGTTCTGGTGGCCAAAATGCAGATAATGCTGCATTGAATTCTTCACCTCAGTTTCAAGTGATACTATTCTTCTTCTCAGTGTATCTAGTAGCATTTGCACAAGGTGGGCACAAACCATGTGTTCAAGCTTTTGGTGCAGATCAATTTGATACTCAAGATCCAAAGGAGTGTAAAGCGAAGAGTTCTTTCTTTAATTGGTGGTACTTTGGTATGTATACCGGTACCTTAACAACCCTATGGATTTTAAATTACATTCAAGACAATCTTAGTTGGGTTCTTGGATTTGCGATACCTGGAATTGTGATGGCTGTTGGACTGGTTATTTTCGTACTTGGAACAATGACTTACCGATATAGTGTGAAGGGGGATGAAGAAAACCCATTTGTGACTGTTGGTCGAGTGTTCATTTTGGCAGTTAGAAACCAGAAAACATCCTATTCAGCAATTGCTGCAGAGGAAGAAGCCCAAGGAACTCTTTCTACTGAAAGTTCCAAGCAATTCCGGTAAGTGATATTTTTGCATTAAGGGAATTAGGAGTATAAAAAAGGGACAATTAGAGCTTCAGTGAAGGTCAATATCTAAGGCCTCATGCACAATTTCTTTAAGTCCTGCCAAAACTTCTCCATTTAACGTAACATGTATAAACTCGTAATATAATACATTATTCATGACATGAGTTTCTTTCGTCAGTTTGTAATGCCGTTGTTTTCTTCATGTGATTGACATGGAGCTCTTGCTTGTTCTTTTCTTCTCCTTGTGGCTGTTATTGAAGTTTTTAGAGCTTGAACTTTATTGAATCATTTGTGTTTTTCCTGCTCTCATTTTTTATTACATTTTCTATTGCAATGTTTCTAACATAGCAATATGGATTTTTAATGTGATAGATTCCTCAACAAAGCCTTGCTTGTGCCGGATGGTTCAAAGGAACAAGGAGTGGTGTGCAGCATCAGAGACGTTGAAGAAGCAAAGGCTATTATAAGGCTTGCACCAATATGGGCTACATGCTTGATTTATGCAATCGTCTTTGCACAATCATCGACCTTCTTCACCAAGCAAGGAGCTACTATGGACAGGTCAATTACAACAGGCTTTGAAATACCTGCTGCTTCACTTCAGTCGTTCGTTAGCCTTTCGATTGTTCTTTTCATTCCTGTATATGACCGCATTTTCGTCCCGTTAGCAAGAGCCTTGACAAGGAAACCAACCGGTATTACAATGCTTCAAAGAATCGGAACCGGAATGGTAATATCTGCTATGTCAATGGTAATTGCTGCTATAGTGGAGATGCAGAGGCTTAAAATTGCTGAAGGAAATGGACTGGTAGATAAGCCAAATGTGATGGTTCCAATGAGTGTATGGTGGCTGGTCCCTCAATACGTACTATTCGGATTAGCCGATGTTTTCACCATGGTTGGCCTTCAAGAATTTTTCTATGATCAGATGCCAAATGAATTAAGGAGTATGGGTCTTGCGCTCTACCTTAGCATCTTTGGTGCTGGGAGCTTCTTAAGTAGCTTTCTCATCTCCACCATTGAGAATGTGACAGGTGGGCATGGCCGAGATAGCTGGTTCTCAAATAATCTGAATAGGGCACATCTCGATTACTTTTACTGGCTGCTTGCTGCACTTAGTGCCATGGGCTTGGCACTCTATATATGTTGTACAAAATCTTACATTTATGCTAGAAGGGGAAGGGCGTTCTAAATTTATTAAGAAACAAACAAATATATATTGTATTTTCAATAATGGATTTATATTATAAAATTGTGGTATAAAAAAATAAAGTACATTTAAAGTCATTCAGCTATGATCAAATGATTATTTTAGTTGTTGAACTTTTAAATGTTATAAAATTATAATAAATTTATGAAATTACTACAAATATTATAATAATCGTAAAATTTTAATAAATTCAATATATCAGTAAAATATAATAATCATTTTATAAAATTTATTAATTATTTATAATAATTTGATAAGTTTAATAATCACTTCATAATTTTTGAAAGTTCAAAAATTATGAAAGTTCAATTAAAAGATTATTTAAGCATCGTCCACATAAAAATTAAACACTAATTATAATTATATCATTTGGTAACAATAAATCTTTAACTTAAAACTATTTATTTTAAAATTTAAACCTATTGAAAAAATATTTATATATTTTGAATAAATCTAGATAATATTTTAAGATTCAATATTGTGGATATTCTTGTTTGCAAATTATGCGAATAACCAATATAAAAGTGGCTAGACAGAGTCTTGATGCTGCAATACAATAGCTTTTCACTGCAAACCGTATAAACATACCGAGTGAGATATGTCTAAATTTTTGGTACTATACAATCAGAGTATTTGAAAACCAACATTCAATCATGACTGAATTAGCTAAATTTTCAACAATTTATGTTTCACATTTTATAAGAGCTGTTTAACCAAAACAAATAAATGTGTGCATTTTCTATTAGAAGCTGAATTCATTTGACATGTATTCACACCTTTTGCAGTTTGTCCTCACCAATGATCCATCGTGTCAACCGACTTGGATCTTCAGTAAATGATTTGCATGACACAGGAAAAATACCGAGATCAGCGCCAATTAGGTCGTATTCCTGTAGTGCTTGAGCCATCTCGGCTTCAACAGATGCATCATCTACAACATCGATTGTGTTCATTTGCAGAAGATCAGCATAATGATTCTCTCTTTCCAGATCATGTTGGAAAGGCTCCACGGCCGGTCCCTGGTATTCCAAACATTTTCAGAATAGCACTTAGCAGCACATGAAAATGGAATGTTTGTTAATTGCTATCGTTTTCATTTCCATTATGTTCATTAAATATCCATATAGAACACGTAAAAAGGAAACAAGATTAATCATAAGAACCCTGCTTCATTTAATGAAAAATGAAAACTAAAATCCCTGAATCAAATATATTTACTTGCATCAAATTGTTATAGTATTACCTGACAGAGTTCAGCATAATGCCTGTATATCTCACTGCTTTCATCTTGATCGCCAACAAGAGTTCCACCATACCAACCATTGGCTTCATCAACAGAGTTCATTTTGAGGTACCTTAAAGATAAGAAAATATGTTTAGCATGTACCATGAACTCGGTATTAGCAACAAAAAAGCTCGAGTCCAACTACAATGTAAAATTATAAATATTTATCCTAAATAACTAGAGAAATCAAAAGTCAGAAAGAAATGATAACAAGAAACATAATCTAAAATAATAGGAAGATTCAAATTCTCTCTCTATATGTGTGTATGCGCACGAGTCTCAAAGAAACACACGATTGCATATAGATTTTACTTCCTCACTGCTGTTAAATCATCAACCTCAGTTTACAGGTCCCTTCAACCTATGCTTTCATAACTTCCTAAACACTTCATAACGCTTACACAAATTTCACAAATTCCAAGAAACTCACTATGCTGCAAGGAAAAATATGTTCCTTCACACATTAAGGCTTTGCTTGGTATGAAGGATGGAAAGTTTGTTATCTAGTGGCTATGCTAAAACTTAGAAAAGTGGCTATAAATGGAAACTTTGTTAAACACGCGGTTAATATTCATAGCCACTTTTCTATGTTCTAGCTTAACCATTAGATTATCAAACTTTCCATCCTATGTACCAAGCAAAGCCTAAGGCATGAGCTTGTTGGAAATTTTCATATAAACAACAGGGTAAACATGTATCTAAAAAAATTTACAATGCCTAAAAAAATAAACATGTTTTATAATAAAAATGGAGAAACTAAGCATAATGTCCCCATTCTTTCATGACTAATAAGCTTTCATCAACTTGGAGTCAATGAAAAATACCATCCTCAAAAATGATATTTTTGTATTACATAAATATGCTATCACCTGCATGTAATTACACTTTAATAACGCTTTTCAAGACAATGGTACGTCATGCATGCATGGACATTTGGTGTCACCTGTGCATGCAAGCGCATATGGATCTCAAATAGTAAACAATCTATCTATCCTACCGTTAATTTTCAGCCCATGTTCATGCAAACCAACGCTATTGGGTCACAGTTAGCAACAATATGAGTCAATATGATTCCTTCATGCTGTGAACATAAAAAGATAAAGCATTTTTACTGAGGTAAACAAGAAACAATTTTAAGAAAATACCTCTGGAAAATATCTTGTTCATCATCATCATTGTCATAGGAAGAAAGCCAATTCAAGTCGCAGAAATCGTCAAATTTCATTTCACCATTTGGCCCTCCATATTTAGTTTCACACTCAGAGACTTTGGGAGCAGAGCCAACGTCTTCAAACTTTCTTTGGCCAAATAGCCAATTTGGACTTTTAAGCTGTATTTCGCTGCACCAAAATTCCAAAGTTTGGATCAAATAAAAGAATTTGTCAATCTTGCTCTACATATCAGTTATGACACAAGCATTTTAGTGCAGAACAATGTTCTGACCTAAAATTTAGGCTAAAACTAGTAGATAAATCCACTTTATCCACAAAAAATTAACTGGTACTTGAAGCTAAAACAAGTAGACAAAAGAATTTCAACAAGTTTACGACAAATTTGGAAGTTATTAAAATTGAAAAGAAAAGTCAGACCACTTGCAATTGACATTCTTGGGTTTATATTGTATTTTTTTTTTTTGATAGGAATGGGAGGTCTCATTAAAAACCTCCCTCATAGTTGCCTCTTGAGAAGAGGCAACTAGCGGAAGGAGGAAAAGAGTACCTCAATATATTAATAAACCCGAATTACATACAACTATAACTTACAACATCACCCGAAGTAAAAAACCAAACATAACCGCTAACAGTAAGGACATTCAACCTATCCCCTCCTTAGCTAACTTGTCCGCCTCCCAATTACAAGCCCTAGGAATCAGCCTAACCATAATATCCCTACCCGAAATTACATCCCCAATTTCCCGAACCAAAGAACTGAAGAACGAAGGAGCCTCAGTAGGCCTGAGAATCCAATCCACTGCAGTCTTACAATCACTTTCGAGAATAAGTCTTCCCTTCAACGCCCAATCCGAATGTAGAAATAGATCAATTCCTTCTTTAATGGCTTTCAACTCAGCAAACAGAGGAGGAGCAGGTCCGACAGGCTTAGAGAAATAGATCACGGTAGAGCCATTCGAATCTCTCAACAGACCTCCAATTCCTGCAAACCATCACTTCTAACAGCCCCATCCACATTGAATTTATAAAAATCAGGTGGAGGTGAATACCAGCACAGATCCTTCTTCTTCTTCTGAAAATTGACTGCTAAACCATCTACAAGCCTTGGATCTCCTATTAATAGATCTACCTGGATGTTAGCTTCAGGAAATTTAGCTAGAAACCATTTGGCCAGCCTGAATATGCAAATGAAGAACAGTGTAGATCTCTCAAAATTCCATTTTTCAAACACCACTAAGTTCCTAGCCTTCCAAATCGACCACATAACAACACCCGGGATGAAATTCCAAATAGAAGAAGAAGCCTTCAAATCAGACCATGAACTAAGTAGAGACGGGGGATCTTTGGGCAGAACAGTATTAACCTCCCATAAATTGATGAACAAATTCCACAACTCCCAAGCAACAGGACAAAACATAAATAAATGGTGAATTGTTTCTTCCTCCTTTTGGCATAAAGGACATAATAACTCTTCCAAAGGAATACCTCTTTTCTTCAATTCCACTCTAACAGCTAACTTTTGGTGAGATAATTGCCATAAAAATGTTTCAACTTTTGGGAGAGCCAATCCAGACCAAACCCATTTCTTCCACTGAAAATTTCCTCCAGAGCTACGAATAAGAGCTGATCTACAGGCCTTAACTGAGAACAAACCATCTCCACTCCCTGACCAAATTAGGAAGTCATCAACAGCATCAATCAAGACAATATTATCAATCAAAGTCATTAGCGATATCCATTGATCCAATTCCCAATCGCATAAATTCCTCCTCAGACAAATATTCCAACTCCAACAATTATTATCATAGCAGCCAAAGTCCACAACTTTCCCCGTTTTGTTAATCGATAAAGCATAAATCCTAGGAAATTGTTCTTTTAAGGTGGAATTATTAGCCTAAATGTCATTCCAGAATTCGATTGATCTACCATTCCCCACTTGGATCTTGGAATTGGACCTCAGACAGTTCCCAATATCGTCCTTTTTCTCATAATTATTCACAATTCCTCTCCATATCCATGAATCTTGCGGGTTAACAGCCTTATTAATTGAAATAGACAAATTGTTAACATTGTGCTTGCAGCAGATCATCTCCTTCCACTGAGAATGTTTATCATTTGCAAACTTCCAAACCCACTTCCCCAGAAGCACTCTATTCGCCATCGACAAATCCAGGACACCCAAGCCACCCTCCTCGTACGGTTGACACACAATTTTCCATTCACCCAATGAATCCGCTTCTTCAAGGGATCGTCCCCCAAAGGAATTTAGCCATCAGAGAATTCAACTTTTGGTTAATCTTTAGAGGGATTTTGAAAATAGAGAGAAAGAAAATTGGCAAGGACGACAAAACAGACTTCACTAATACTAATCTCCCTGCCATCGATAATGTTTTTGCTTTCCAGCCCTCTAATTTGCTATTGAACTTCTGCAGAACTGGTTCCCACAACAGATCCGAATTTCTGTAAGTGCCTATCGGTATACCAAGGTATGCCATAGGAAGAGCCCCAACACCACAACCAGCGATCGTAGCCCATTCCTTTAGAACCTCCTCATCCATATTAACACCAAATAACTTGCTCTTTGAT